TCTAGTATAATGGTTGTGGTTGACAGGTTTTCGAAGTATGCAACGTTCATACCTGCATCTAAGGTGTGTCCAGCCGTAGAGGCGGCTCGACTTTTCCTCAAGCATGTGGTGAAGTATTGGGGAATGTCGAAAACCATCATTAGTGACCGGGACACGCGGTTCACAGGGATGTTCTGGACGGAGTTATTCAAACTGATGGGATCGAACTTGAACTTTTCCACCGCAGTTCATCCACAAACAGATAGGCAAACTGAGCGAGTGAATGCTCTGTTAGAGATCTATCTGAGGCACTATGTGAGTTCCAACCAATGAGATTGGCCAAAGTTGTTAGATGTGGCCCAATTTTCCTACAACTTGCAACGGAGCGAGACGAAAAACTAGAGTCCGTTCGAGATCGTGACCGGGCAACAACTGTTGACACCCAACATGGTTTTTACCAAGTATGAGGGGCCCAATCCATCAGCACACAACGTTGCCAAGGAGTGGCACGAGCAACATGACTTAGCCCGAGCTTGTTTGCACAAGGCGGGGAAGCGGACCAAGAAGTGGGCCGACCGAAAGCGTAGGGACGTGAACTTTGAAGTTGGAGATCTTGTCCTTGCAAAATTGGCCAACGTTTTGCGACATGCAGATGTGCACAAGGGGCTTATGCGAAGGTATGAGGGTCCGTTCCGAATTATGAAGCGGATAGGCACCATGACCTACAAGTTAGAGTTACCTCCAATCATCCGAGCGTATCCCGTGATCCATGTTTGTCTACTCAAACCATACTACCAGGATGTAGAGGATCCGGATTGAGGCAATTCACACCGAGCGCCAGTCAGAGTAGTAATATCCTATGATAAGGAGATTCAAGATATACAAGCGGAGAGAGTTATTCGACGACCAGGATACCGCCCGAGGCATGAGTACTTTGTCCTGTGGAAAGGCCAACCCGAGTGTGAAGGGAGTTGGGAGCATACCGAGGGATTTTGGTAATTCAAGACCCAAATAGACCAATTTCATGCCAGATGGGTGACAAGGGCGTCACCGGAACCAGTGGGGGAGAATGTCACGGACCACGAGCCCACAACCGAGGTTAGCCCATGACAAGTAGCCCAAGACTACTTAAATGGTGTTTTCAACCTTTCGGGACCCATGAAGACTTTAATTTTGTATAGAAAACACAATCCCTTGATTGGTGGGATTAGGTAAAGTGCTTCAATCTAGGTCGTCGATGTAATTAGATCTTAGTCGTTCATTGAGGGGAGCTTCAACTATAAATAGAGACCTCCCCTCCTCATTTGTACTCACTCCTTCACTTTGAGAAATCATAAGAGCATTCTTCTCTCAAAGCTTTCTTATCTTCCTTTTTTGTGCTAGTTCTCTTGTTTTGCTTCCGTTGAGAATCTAAGCATCTTTGCTTGGGTTATTTTCAGGCTTACTTAGCCGCAATCACTAAGAAGGCGACTAAGGCCGCACGTTCCAAGGCGTCGAAGTTCCAAGGGCGTGACAATATGCATGAGATCCTAGGTTAATTCGAGGATAACTTTAAAACTTTGTGATGTGTATTGTTCCTATTATGATCGAATTTTTACCTCGAATTCTTACAGTGGTATGATGAGCCTCTTACGTGTTCATATTAATTGTATGATTGTTATAATCTATGTTATTAGATGTATGATACTAGAATTTGAGCGAACGATATTACTTAATCAGACTTTTTAAGGTGTTGATAGTTTAAATCAATTTTTGAAAGAATTCGTTAATATGATTAAGAATCCCAATATTGTTCTGCGATTAAAGAGTTCAATTACATGATTAGATTGTGATAGTACAAATTTAACAAATATAATTTACGGAAGTTGTGTATAAGCCTTAAGTGTAATTAGATTACATTGTTTAATACGATTATACTGAGTTTCGGCTTCTTCTATCATTGAAAAAGTCTAGATAAGGTCCAACTCTGTGAAACACCATATAGTATTAATTGGTTTAAAGAACACGTCTTAGTAACACTTTTAATCTTTATGTAATATGTATGTGATATATGATTCTTGATAATTTTGTTTAATGTACTTTCTATGGCATGATGCATAGTATGACCTTTTTGATTCTTTTACAAGGGTTGTATATTTTTAAAATATGACTTGCATGTCATTTTGTTTATTGTAATTTAAAATACGACATGCATGTCGTTTTGTTTTTGTAACAACGACCTGCATGTCATTTGGAATTTTAATGTAACAAAACAAGAAAGCAATACTCGCTCAACCATGGTGATGGAGGAGCTAGATGGTGATCCAAGGTGATGTATTGAAGATGCTTGTCGCTTAGGTTCTTTCTTTATTTAGAATAAGACCATACTATGTCACGTTTATTTATTTGCATATATGTGATGCTATATGAATAAAATGCTACGTATGTGGTGCCTTAATTATTAAAGATTAAAAAATAAAAAAGACCCATCACATAAAATTTTAGTTTAAATGTCATCCGTTTTAAAACACTTGTCAAGGCTTTTATCACCTTAATGTAGGTTCTACTAAAGTAAGCGTACATTAGGTTACATTAGTGAGACGATATGAGAGATGGTGCTACTCTTATGTTTGAAATAGTTTAATTTAATTAGGTTATGAAAATGATTTTGGGCCCAATGGCATGAGATGAGATTTATGCATGCCAAGACATATCATGCAAAAAATCTCATAAATTTGTAAGAGTTACCTAAGATGAAATTAGTAAGAGTTACTTACCTAAATAAGTTATTTTTATGTGTAATGATAAAGCCGACTTTGAAAATATGGATCTTAGCCCATTATATTAATAGTATTATATTTGAGGGTTGTTAATTTGGTGAGAATATTATTAATCAAAATATCTTATTAAACTTTGCATTTTCTAGATGGTCAACAATAATAACAATTTAACTTTATCATTATGATCGATCCTTGAGAAGGAAAAAATTACTAGGACTATATTCCTCAACTGGTATCAAAATTTGAAAATTATTCTCAAACAAGAAAGTAAGCTTTACGTCCTTGATAAACCCAACCATGAAGAACTAGATAAGGATGTTTCTAAAGATGAAACAAAAGATCATGAGAAGAATAAAGATGATTCTCTTGATGTTGCATTCCTGATGCTAGCTACCATGAGTTCTGAAGTTTAGAAAGACATAGGAAGCATGTAAGCTTATGAAAAGATTAATAAGCTTAAGGAAATGTTCCAACAACAAACAAGGAAAGAAAGGTATGAGACTACCAAGACATTGCATTCTTGGAAAATGACTGAGGGTGCTTAAGTTTGCGTTAATGTGCTAAAAATGAAAGGTCTTATTGAGCATCTTGAAAGACTTTGGATTTCTTTTGAGCCAAGAGTTGACTACTGATTTGATCCTGAATACGTTATCTAGAAGTTATAATCAATTTGCCATTCACTATACCATGAATGAAAATGAAAAATCAATTTTTGAGTTGCGTATGACGCTTAAAAATAGCTTCAAAATATTAAATACAAGCCTAGTCATATTGTGATGGTTCAAAAGGGAAAGAGTTTCAAGAAAAAAGGAAAGGGAAAAAGAAAGGTCGTAAAGTCCAATGCCAAACCAAATCTCAAAGTTGTTCTCAAGACTAAACGTCACAAGGATGGTGAATGTTTCTTTTGCGAGGAACATGGTCATTGGAAGAGAAATTGAAATAAATATGATTAAAATTTAATCAATTCTCAAATTAAATGAACTTGACTTAAACTTTAATTCAAGTCAAATTCTTAACGAGTTGAGAGAGGTGATATTCAAATAAAAAAACTCGTGTTATTAAAAAACAATTTTTTAATTTTTTAAATTAATTTATTGAAAATATTTATATTATATTTTTCTAAATAAAATACAATATAAAGATTTATTTTGTTACTTAAAATTCAAATTGAGCTCCAATTTAAGCATCACTTAAATTAAATTTAGGAATTTTTTTAAATTGGAGTCTATTTTAAATTTTTTAGTTTAATTTTGTTTAAGAATTTCAATTTTCAATTTCAAAAAATTTTAAAAATCTTAAGCTCACGAAAGGGAACTTCACCATAAATTTTTAGTTAAATTTAAGAATTTTTTGAATTTTTTAAAATTTAATTGAATTGAATTTTTAATTTAAAGAATTTAAAAGCTTTAAAATTGAACTTCGGAAATTTTAAATTCCAAAAATTTTAAATCAAATCAAATTTATTTTTGTACTTTTTAAATCAACTTATAAATCAAATCAAATTTAATTTTGCACTTTATTGATTTTTTAAAAATTGAATAGAATTTCAATTTTTAATTTTAAGAAATTAAAAATTTTGAAACACTCTTTAAAGTCATAATTTTTTACAATTTAATTTTACACATTTTGAATCAACCTTAAAAATACTCGAATTTATGAAAATACTTTGAACTCGAAATACTTTGAACTCGAACTCAACTCAGGTCGTGTACCGCACTATTAGCTCTTGACGTATCCTTTCATCTGTTCATCTGTTCATCTGTGTCTTTGCTTCATTGCTTGTTGAAGTTTGAATGGAGAGAAAGATGGAAATCAACGTTTATCATAGTTGATTGGTTGCTTCGCTTTAAAAGTACTTGAAATTAAAACATCAGATTTTTCAACCCTAAAACTAAAACACCCACCAAAGTTCTGGATAATGTATACAGATTGAATAGCAGCAACCGAACTCGGTTATGGGGGAAAAACCTCGACCCGTACAGTATATGCAAAAAAAAGCCCCCGCAAAAAAGCAGAAAAAGAAAATCAAGTTTTGCGGCACATGAAACCGGCAAAAACCATACACAATAACAATAAATACATCGAAATATGGTTGCTCTCTCTCTCAATTCAGTTCCTTTTCATATCTCCCTTTCTCCTCAAATGTTTTGCATCTAAACACTCCTCACAGGCATAGCAACAAAGACAGGAAACAGTGGAAAGTTGAAGCCCCAAAAGAAAAAAGAAAACTCTCATAAAAATATTTACAAGTTAAAAGAGAAGTGTCGGTCACGCATTAGAATACAAGGATTCCCCATCTCATCGGCCCAGGCAGAGAGCGGCGTCGATATCCAGCCTCCATGCAAAGCCGCCGCCGTCCATTAGCCAAACGTCACAAGGCAACGTCAGGGAGCTTCGCTCTTTCCCGCATGTGTAATGCACCCTCACCTTGCATGTGAACGCCGGGTACGTTATCATCAACGGCAGCCTCTCCTTCATCGCCAGCCACACCATCGTTTCCCCTCCGACCATTTCTTTATACGCTGCGTTTGTCCACGTCACCCTCCCCATACCATCCGATATAAACCCTGGACACGTGTCCCTCCCCAGATTAATTTTCTTTTCCTCGTCTGTTCTCCCTAGCACATCTCCACTCACCCAAGTATCCGTCAGGCCTTCGACCGTCACGCACGACCCCACCCTCACGATCTGCGGCGGCACCACCACCGCCTGCTCGTCAGGAACACCGAAGCTTAACCAAAAAGGCATCGTCTTTTGGATTACTCCTCCCTTTTCCTGACTCAGACCAGAATCTTTGCAGTCAGGCGTTTCGGGAAGAAGCGGCAAAGTAACCCTTTTTTCCTCGTTCAAAACCCTTCTTTTCTTGTTGCACCACTTGGTATTACTCATAGTACAACTTTCTTTACAGGACCTTCTCTTCCCCCTCCCTGACTTGGAACAAACCTCACCGCTTCCCTGAGGGGAAACAGACCCGGCGATCGCCGGTTTGGGAGCGATCGGACGGAACCGGAGCATTATCCGGTCCACTTTCGACATATCATAAACCCCATGGCCAGCGGCTGCATATCTCACTATGCAACACCCTCCCCTGCTTTGCATTTTTTTCCCTCTCTAGAAATAATCACTCTTTTACTCGCACCTTTCCTTGCGGACGCACTGCATGCCCCTAATAGGAGTGTTTGGTTTTATAAGGAGGAGGAAGGGGACGCGTGTGAGCGCTCCAACACGTGTGTGGATAAAGAGGCGAACAGCGCAGAAAAAGGATTGGTCGAGAAGCGAAACGTGGCAAAAAGTTTCAAAAGAAAGGCGGTGCCGGAGGTACGGAACAAAGGTCTTGAGTGGGCCCCAATAGGAACCAATGGGAAGAGGAGGAGTGTCCTGTGTACCGGTGCCGATAAGGAGGCACGTCGATCTCGGCCTTCGAGTTGAACTGCTTCCTTGTCGATTGTGGGAGATAGAACGGGACACGTGGCTCAATCGGAATTGGATAGAGATTCAACGGAGAGCCTGTTCTTCTTTCCATAAATAGTAGGTGGGTAGATGTGCACCACGTGTATGGTCGGATCATGACGCTGACTGATTCGGTCTCAATTGGGATACGTGACGTCAGAAATTATTTTGGTTCTACGGACTTTTTCTCTATTTTTTTACTCTAACCTGTCTCCGTGATTGGAGAAAAAGGAAAATGACGTTGTTTTGTTTGTCAAATAATATGCATTTGTTACAAAACTACCCTTGTATTGTTTACTTGATTTCGAAAATGGCCTTACTAGCTCTACTATATCACGAAAACGAAAACGATTTAGTTAAAAAAATTATTTAATATTAACGGCTAAATTAATTAATTTATTAAATATTAAGATTAAGTTTACTATTTGTTTTTGAACACCCTAGTGACTACGACTTGTATAGCTTATTCACCATGTCATAGCCCTATGATAGAAAATGCCTAATCTTTATTGGATTCGACAGAACTATCCATGTGCAAACCATAATTCCATCTTTTCAAAGTTTCTTCTGTCATGTCCACATTATTACCAACGAAAATTATTTAGTGGGCAAATTTCAGATAATTATTCAATCATTTAAAAAAATATTAATTGAATTCCTTCTACAACTTTTGCAAACACTTGAAATATTTAATTACAAAATTATAAAAATAAATATTTTATAAAACATTGATTGTTAAATATATTGATGGAACATTTTTATGATTTATATTGTCAATAATTTTTTACATATAATTTTATAAAAATAAAAACATGTAATGATGGAACGTTTAATTGATAAATTTATTCAAATAAATTCATACTTTCAATTAAAAATAAAAAATAAGTAATTGAAATAATTATAAAATCATTTTATACTATTTACATAAAAAACTTGTAATTTAATTATTAAAAAAACAGAATGGCTGAGGCATCAAACCAGAGCCTAAGGTGGCGTTTGGTTCGCTGAAATGTTTCTGAGGGAATTGGAATCTGTGAGGAATTAGAATCTGTCAGGAATTGGAATTCAATTCCATATTCTGTTTGGTTGACAGGAAATTGAATTGAAATCCAATTCCATATTTTGTTTGGTTCGCAGACATGTCAGATGAATTTGATTTCAGCAATGTAAAATGACAGGATTGCCCTTCTTGTTTTTTTGCTTAATTTTAGTTTATTTTATAACTTACATGTAGCAATATATTATAAAAAATTAAAAAAAAAATTAAATATTAATGTAACTCCCAGACCCGATCTGTAAGTTAGACTCAAACCTAAGTGGTCACATATCTCATTCAGAGGTTTTTTTTATAACTTATAGAACATTAAATATAATATAGAATAAAATATTAATAATACAGATATGTCCAATACGATAGCAAATACATGTCCCCAAACATAATTGAAAAACATATAGAATATATGTTCGTACAAAATAAGTAGTTGATTTCCCCTGATGCCAAATCTGCTAGTTCACGGTCTGCTATTATCTGAAAAAGGGAAAAACTACAGAATGAGCTAAAATGTCCAGTGTGCTCCAAACAGAATATAAAAACTTGCTAATAAAATATTTCAGTGAAATCAATTTATCAAACATATTTGTTTTATTTTAAAATATAAACACTACCCCCATCCGTCACGTACCAAATGTGTAGGTTCCCCAGAACCATACACCTCGTCACGTCCAGTAAGGCCCTGAGCACACAGCTGAGGAACCGGTAAGTAAGGTCCTAAGCACACAGCAAGGGAACCTCCAAGTATACTTCCTCCAACATTAACCCCAAAATAAAACATGTTCCGTTCATAACGAATATTTATATCAATCATTAAAACATAATTCAAGTCAAGTAGCATATCAGATTCCATGTCAAGTACCATATCAAAATCCACGTCAAAAAAAATCAGATAAACTATTCATGTGATAGTTTAAAACAGTAAGATAACACCGTCAGGAAATACACCTGTCACAGTCTGAGAAATCGGATAGGGAAGCCTACTATTGGGTTTGTCGATCACGTTCTGCTACAACGCTAGATCCTACGAATTAGAAAAATCCATATTGGAATTCTAATATAAATAAACTTTAATCTTTATTTAAAAATATACGGAAACCTACGGGTAATTCTTGTATTACGCGGTTCAGACTGATCTAACGAACGAACAACACCGGACCTAACTGATCCTTGCTCAGGTGAAACACGAGTACCTTCATAAAATATTTTATTTAATCAATTCCTTAACCAAAACTCTTAAAAATAATCAAAATATTAAGATACTAAGCCTTTTTGGGTTCACATGCTCGATTTGGGAATTTTGGGTCAAAATTTGGCAAAACGGACTTCGTAATCAAATTCAGGACGTCGAAAAACATAAAGTATGACATTCCGAAATTTCGAATTCGTGGTCAAAATCAAAGTCAACGGGTTTGACTGAAGATTTGGAGACTTTCGGGTTCAAATTTAGCAAAACGGACCCCAAAAACGGATTTAGAACGTCGAAAACTATCAGAATAGGTATATTCGAAAAAGATTAACGATCGTTTAATAGCCGGTCAAAGCCGGTCAAAGTTCTGGTCAAAGGAGGTCAACAAACTGTCTAACATTTTACACAAATATCACCCTTTTTAAAATAATTACCAAAATAGAACCCTTTTCGAAATAATTACCAAAATAGCACCCTTTTTGAATTAATTCCCAAAATAGCACCATTTCGAATTAATTCCCAGAATATCACCCTTTTCGAATAAATTACCAAAATAACACCAAAATCTAATTAATTCCTAGAATAGTACCAAATCCAATTAATTCCCAGAGTAGCACCGGTCAACGGTCAACGGTCAACGGTCGGGTCGAGTCAACGGGTCGGGTCAACGGACCGGTCAAACCGGTTCGGACCAGTCAAACCGGTTTTCTGCTGGCCGAACCTCTCCACGCACCAAGGCGGCGCATGTGGGCGCGTGAGGTGTCCTTCGGGGCTCTAAAAATCACAGAAAAATTTCTAAAAATTATTTTGAGCGATTTCGAGATACTTACAAAGCTCGGTTTAAAATTTTGAACGGCAGAGAGCTCGATTTTATCAAATCAGAAACTTTGACCGCTTCACCTCCCCACGCGCCGCCGTCGACGGAGACCGAGGATGACACCGGCGGACTCGGAACGGCACAAGGAACACGATGGTACGGGAGGTGTCGTAAACGGAGCAACGATCGGCGATGAATTAAGGATTTTCTAGGCGATTGAGCTAAAAAAACGTCGATGCTTTGACTTGAAATTCACTGCGTTTGGCAGCGTTTCACCTCAATTAATTTAAGGGAATTGTTCCTCACTCGATAACGAACATGATGGTGGTTTCAAAACGACGATCGGAGGTCGGATGGCGTCGGAACAGTGGTTGCAAGTTAGGGTGCGGGAGGAGGAAAACTTAAGGAATTTTGCTTATGAATCTCACCCCACGCATATCTGATTCAACATATAAAAGAGTTTCTGCTGACACTTTTTGGGTAAATTCAGTGATTGGTCACTGAATTTTCCTCATTTCTTAAAACAGCCTACAAAATTTAAAAACTTTCAATTTAGTCCCTAATTTTTCACCAATTACACAATTAATTTGCATTTTTTTTCCGGGTTGTTACAATTCTCCCCCTCTACAAGAAATTTCGTCCTCGAAATTTACCTTATGAAAATAGATGAGGAAATTGAACCTCCATTGACTCCAATGTCTCCCAAGTAGCTTCTGAGGGACTACGATTACTCCACTGAACTTTGACCATTGGAATACGTCTATTCCGAAGAACTCGCTCATCCCTCTCTAAAACATGAACAGGCTCCTCCTCATATGACAAATCAGGTCTCAGCTCTACCTCATCAACCTGAATAATGTGATCTGGATCTGGACGGTATCGCCTCAACATAGACACATGAAAAACATCATGAATACGACTGAGCTGGGGAGGCAACTCAAGTTGATAAGCAACAGGTCCGACTTTCTTCAGAATACGATACGGCCCAATAAATCGCGGACTCAGTTTACCCTTACGTCCAAATCTCAATACTTTCTTCCATGGAGATACCTTGAGAAAAGCCTGATCTCCAACCTCAAACTTGATATCCTTACGTCGCTTATCTGCGTATGACTTCTGCCTATCAAATGCCTCTCTTAAGCGATCACAGATCAGTCTGACAGTATCTTCAGTTTCTCGAACCAAGTCTGGACCCAAAGTTTTTCTATCATGCAACTCTGTCCAACATATAGGAGTACGACATCTACGTCCATACAGAGCCTCGTACGGTGCCATGCGAATACTCGCCTGATAACTATTATTGTAAGTAAACTCAGCTAACGGCAAGAAATCCTCCCAACTACCACGAAAATCAATCACACAACCTCGTAACATATCCTCCAACACCTGAATCACTCGCTCAGACTGTCCATCAGTTTGAGGATGAAAAGTTGTACTTAAATTCAAACGAGTACCCAGAGCCTCGTGCAAAGCTTTCCAGAACCTGGAAGTGAATCTCGGATCTCGGTCAGATATGATTGACAACGGAACACCATGAAGTCTAACGATCTCAGAAATGTACAACTTAGCTAGTTTGTCCAGAGAATAATTAACCCGCATAGGGATAA